GGGGGGGGTATACTCTTATGCTTTGCATGCCTTTGCGGTTAGACCATTGACCACGCGTCCTCGAGAAGACGAAGCGTTGTTCCCAAAGGACCGATCACCGATGGCCATCGGGGGGGGGGCATCAACGAGGGGAAGCGGGGAATAGTGGACGTTGCCTGCACAATGGTTGGGGTCGTTGGCATCCCGCACAGTGGGGTCGTTTTTGTTGGAGGGGGGTTCTTGACGGAGCATGGACTCACCACTGAAAAACGACAGCCTGCAAGAGGGCCAACAAATAATGTTGTAACACGGTTTGTTCTGCGTCGGATTTTGTGCTAGCATCGACGGCACCAACCGGCAGACCAACAAAACATACGTCCGTGTAAAAAATAGCGGGAAGAAATAACGCTCGCCAACAATTGTGTTTCGTTTCACGCGTGCGAACATCGATCGCCCTAACCAGCACATCAAACGAATGTACGTCGATGTCAAAAGCGGGATTTAGAATAATACACGCCAACAAGAGAGAGGGCATTCGTGTTTTCTCCGAAGGCGGGATCGGCCGCCGCTGTACCCGTATTGTTGTAGGTACGTTGAGGCTGACACTCACTGGCGTCGACTCGGTCATGAACGAGCTCGCGCTGGGCACACCCAGAAGCGACGCACGCTCCTTACGAGCGTGCGGACCGAAAAGGGTCACGGCCGTGTAGATGTAACACACACATACCGCGGCGGCCTGGACTAACACAACACAACGCGCGAAAAAAAAAGAAAAAAGGAGCAAGCGCGTGTGTCCAACGCCATCGCCGAGCACCCACCGGTTTCCAGGAACAGCTCGAGCAGGCCGGACGACACAATGGCCGCGGCGGAGCTGTCCTTTCCGTTGTCGGTGGCCGATTCGGGCGCATCGAAGTCGGCGGGGGGGATAAGGTCCTCCGGAAGGTTGTCCTCATAGTACCTGGGACAAAAACAAAACAAAACAGGGGTTCCGGAGAATCAATCGTAATGGTATGCTACACCGCTCCAACCGCTGTTGTGCCTGTGATATGTTGTTTTCATTTTTCCATAGGGAGCAACAACAACAACAGTAGGGATGACACAAACGCCACCCCCCAAAACACACATACACACACGCTGGCAAACAAGAAGCATCTATATGATATTCAGCATCATCATCATCAACAACAGGATCGACTCACTTGAGAAGCCCGATTGATCTGTCCAGGAACCGCTGTTCCGGGAGGAACCTGTAGACCATCGCGTAACCGTAAATGGCCCATGCCTGTCCCCTTGTCCACGTCGACGAGTTGGTGTAGCCCTGGTAAGTTCCTGCAAACAGACGGCGCCCGTCGTGAAAAAAACAAAAAAACAAAGAAGAAGGACACGAAGAACGACACATTACGAGCTTCCCCATTGGTACTTCGCATATGAACGGGAAAACACCACAGCCTCAGCTTTCGGTTCGCGACTTGCAGCCGCCGTCGCAGAGGGCGATCGATATGTAAAACTATACACAGATATGGTTTCTGTTACAGGAATTTTCTTTGATTTCCTTGGGCTGTAAGAAGACTTTTGCACTGACTGTCGTGCCAGCTGTCGGGCCATTCGTAGCCTGTCGTGTTGTCGAACAGCCCGGCAGAATACGTCAGCTTCAACAAAATACAAATACGCGGCAGCTCGGCATCAGCTGTTCTGCTGTGGAGCCCAAAGTGCCAGCGCATGCCAACAGCTCAGCGTTGGCGCGACAGCTGTCAGGACGGCTGGGGAGTGAGGTATACGTGTGGGTGGCGCACAGAAGAATCGTTTTTATGTCCAGCGTGCATACAGCAAGGCGGCGACCGAAGCATCATGATGGTGTCGATGTGTCCCAAATGATAAAAGTTTTGGCAATACACGAGAGAGAGAGAGAGAGAGAGAGAGAGAGAGGAGAGCGGTTTGTACAACTACTGCTTGCTGTGAACAGGCAACCAAAAAGTGATAACTGATTTGGTGAATTGCCACGTAAAAACGCCAGAAAAGAGACTGAGGTCAGGTCACACACAACACGGACGATTGGTCTTCAGGACAGAAACTACGGTCGGAGGAAGGCCCCCGGCCGGATGCAATTTCAAGTCATTTTTCCGGCCAGGAATCTGACTGTCTGTGTGAAAGTCGCAACTTCTTTTTATTTCTCTGTTCAGTTCTGTCATACGCGCAGAGACGTTGTGGACTGCTGTCTCCGGCTTGGCTGAACGCCCAAATGCCCCAGAACGACTCGAGCCATGTGTGGGCGATGTCAGCAGATGAATGAACTACACACAGCAGTAAGCAGCCCCATGTATGTAGTTTCCAGCAGCAGTCGAGCAATGTATGTCGTGGTCGGGAGGTCGGTACGCACATATCGTCACATCGATCCGCGCGGCTGCGGGCTTTCAACCAAAAAAATCCAGAAAACTGTTGAAAAATATTATGAGCTCGCGCCGACCTGCCGCGAATCCGTTGATACGAAGGTATGTATGTATGTATGTATGTATGTATTCACTGCTGTCGTTTCTCTGTTATGTAGCCTTTTGCATGTTCTTGCATCACCCCTTGCGCGGTGCTCTCTTCACCCCACTCCGGAGGGACGCCTTGTAGTGTCGATATGATTGTGTTGCTTCTGGGTGTGTTCCTTGAAAAAATCGTCCCCAAGAACACCCCCCCGAAAGAAAACCGAACCTGTCTCTATGAACTCCCCCGTGTCGATGTCGTAGGCCGCCACGTGGTTGGTGCTGTTGTCCTCTCGGACGATGTCCTTCCAGGTCGAGTCCGCGTGGCTGTTCCCAAGACCACAACACAACACGGGAGGGAAGGTGCGTGTTTACGGGACATGAATGACACCGTCGCCAAAAAAATTCAAATGGGGTCGCCGCAAGTTTTTCTCTACTGCTGCTGTGCTTCACACGCAGACACAATTTGGAAGCTCTCGCCTGTGTTAAGTTACAAGAACTACCAAGAAAACATCGCCTCAGAAGGGAACACCGCACACGTACGTGGCGCCTTGTTCCAAGCTGAAAAAACATGCCTACCCCTCCCCCAAGACACTCTGAGCGGTACACACGAGGACCGCCACACACACACACACACCTGCTGAGTTACATATAAATCTCTTCCGCGTTTGAGCGACAGGGGATCAACCCTACAAAAACGAAGCTCGCTCTGGTTCCGTCTATCGGTGACGTGGCTTTGGGAAGGCGGGTGGCTACAAAACACTGACGTCGATATCTATCAATCCTATCGTGCGTTTGGCAGCACATGGCGGCAGAACACGTGGGAAGGAGGGTGAGCGCGCGCTTGTGACAGCGCAATAATGGCCAAGATCGGCAGGTGTTTTTACGAGAAAATGGAACGCGATTCGGAAGACGACAGATACACACCTCCAACACAAACGGGGGGGGGGGGGGACACTCTGAATTAAAAAAAATTATCTGCTGCGGCAGTCCCATACATGCGACAGTACAAGACAATAAACACCACACGAGAAAAGAGGCAGAAACACAGCCAGAAACGAGGAATACCCAGTGATAGACAGAGGTGGCACGAGCTGCAACAGACAAGCAATACATGGGTCGAGCGCGGAACCTAAAAGCACACCTGTGCACACGTGATTGACGCTTTCCTCTCCACCACACTAGGTCTGTCTCACCACTCGCCGAGAAAGACAAAAAAAAAAAAAACTCTTTACACGAGAATAAGCCACAAGGGCCTAGAAAAACAAGATATCGCAAAATCACTCTAGATCAACAACAGCAACAGACAAAGCAGCAGCAACAGCAACGACAACACCACCACCACCACCACCACCGACAGCAACATCATCAGCACCACCAACGACAACACTCCACCACTCACCCTTCCACTTCCAACTCGTGGTCCTCCCCGCCGTTTAGCCCCGCCCAGAGCAGGATCTCCAAGTTCATCATCATGTCCACGTTCACGGCGCGGTCCCAGTCAGGCCTTTTGGTCGGGTTTTCCCACGACCAGTACGCAGGGATGTTGCCCTGTTTCGTGTGTGTGTGTGTGTTATTCTTGTTAATAATAGCGCGAGCACCGCTTTTTATGGGCGCGTAGTAAAAGTCGCGAGAAAAGTTGATTTTTTTTGGCAACTTTTGTTCGGGAACGTTTGTCAAGAACACTTGTGTATTGCACGCCCACTACGGGGCGAAGGAAGTCTGTTATACGGGACTGGTGGAATGCTGGAGGCGTGATCATTTTGTGTTTATTGAGCAACGGCGAGAGGCAGGCAACACCCCTTCATACCACCCCGCGAAACCGCCCAGAGTGTGCAACGAAAGCCTGGAAAACGAGTTTGTGGCACAAAGCCTGGCGTTGTGCCTTCCAATCGAGACAGGTAGCCCTCAATCATGCTCACATCCAACACAAATTGTTGCCGCAGACTCTACAAATACGCATGTTAGTATTCTACACAGCTGCGGCCATTGTAGGCAATCCCAGCTCGTCGTTCAAGTATTGTGACCAATCATCTATCGCGTGGATCGTGCGCGTGTGTGTGGTGGGAGAGGGTCTACGTGTGTGGTAGGGGCAGGTGCTTGACGTGGATTGGCGGAAGTTTCGCCGCGAAACTGTTTCTTCCACACTTCTGTAGCCAGAAAATATTGCGAAATATTTGCTCCAGATCTCGCGATCATTGTCAAAAGCAAAGGTTTCCACAATCTTGGCGCAACTGCTGTTTGCTCCCTTATAGAGCGCGCATAAGAAAAGTTGCGACAAAAGTCTGCACACTTTACCCTTTCTCGCAACTTTATGCTTCCAAAAGAGCGGTGTAATAAACCGGCTGTGTGTAATCTTGTGTTCTTTTTTCCATTTTCGAGCGGGTGTTCGATTTTCCATGAAACCCTATCAACCCATGGGTCGAATTTGGCAAGCTCAGTCAGTCATTCAAACGAAAGCAAACGAACTATTTAGGAGTATAATAGTTGGTGTACTTGTCTCCAGAGAGACCCAAGGTGTTCACTCTGAAGAAGAAAGGGCACCGCGGGGTGACAAACGAGCACACGCAAGCGCACGCACGTAGTTTGCGCACAGAAAACGGGGCGGATTCTCTACAACCATTCCCGCAGAAAACACTGGCCACCTACCACTATTTTCAATCGAGGTACAGTAGGGAGATCGATCAGCCCAGTGGGTGTCTTTCTCTAACAACAACACACACACGCACTGAAGCATGCACCCGCACAACAGGGAGGAGAGCACCACAAAAAACGGACACCACAAATAACGGGAAGGGAATACTTGCAAGTACAACAGCAGCAGCAGCAGCAGAAGCAGCAGCGGCAGCGGCAGAGGCGTTTTCGTCATACAAGCACTCAAGCAGCAGCCTAGGGCTGCAGGCGACCAAAAAGATCCAACCAGAGACCGAATGAACGACCGACCGACCGACCGAACGAATGAATGAACGAACGAGTGACTGATGACTCACGTCCCATCGGAAATCGTGGAGAGCTTCCGCCCCAGTGAGGACCCTCTGCAGGTAGTCGTCCGAGCCGGTCAGCCGGTAGCCGAGGCCGAAAGAGTTCAATATCTGGGGGAGGAAGAGGAGCAAACAGAGAAGCGGCGGCGGCGGCGGCGGCGGCGGCGGCGGACGGAACAACAACCGGCGGCAGCGAACGATAAAAAAGAAAAGAAAAAAAAGAGGCCGTCCAAGAGAACTGATGGTTCAGACCTGCAACACAGCAGTAGGGTAAGGGTAGGCTGCATACGCACGACAACACACCTCCTGGAACGACTTTCGAATCTCGATTACTCTGCAGCACAAAACTGCCGTGGCGGTGCCAAAAACAGCGGCAGTGGAACCGACTCGTCGGGAGCTCTTCCAAAAGCGCATCGATTTAGTTTGACATCGTCTTCATCGACGGGGGAATAGAGCTTTGAAATCGGTCCAGGGGGTGCGTGTCTTGTGCAACCTATGGCAACACGTCAAATGCTAGATTAGATACCCCGAGAAATTCCACTGTACGGTGGGGGGGGGCACAAGGACAACGATGAGCAGGAGCAAAAACCTCCTAGGGTACACGTTGGTTCCGTTAGAACATTTACCGTCTCAAGCGGAAATGTGATACAGTCGACTAGACTGACACACCTGGAACCCGGTGTCGTTGTCCTCCTCGCTCTCCAGCCCCTCGAGACCCGAGCAGTAAAACTCCGCCGCGGTCTGGACAGCAACAGCACAACCAGCATCAGCACCAGCATCACCAGGCGCATCGGCAGCAAAATCAACAGCATCAGCATCAGCAGCGGCCCAAGCCCCCATCACATGGCCGACAAAGCGCTGGTCATCATGTTTCGATCAGCCCAGCCTTGCTATCCCTAAACATCCCGTTGGTACACACAATGGAAGCCAATGGCAGCCAGCCAGCCAGCCAGCCGTCGCCGCCGCCGAAGTCACGATCACAACAGCTCACAACAACGCAGGATCACCTGCTCGCCCCAAACAGGGGGGGGATTGCCAGGGAAGAAGCAGACACCCCCGCGGACGAGCACAACGGTACAGCAAAACACAAGAATAACCATCCCTGTGCAGCCTCCAACCATCACCGTGAGTCACGCCTCGGGTGCACGGTCCTCCTGGCTACGAACGGGTTGAACGGGGGTTCCGCAGAGGCGCACGCCGAGAGGGGAGGGTGGGGCTTACCTTCATTGCCTCGTCGCCCGTGGCCTCGTACTGGTACCAGAACATGCCAGCCACCATGCCGCTAAAAAGAAACAGCAAATACGAGGGGGGGGTGGGGCTCGGTAAGGAGTTGGATGAGAAAAATCGGCGAGAATTTGGAGAGAGAAGTCGAAAAATCGGAACCTAGACCCCAGACAAAAAAACTCCGTCGATTCCCATGCCTGCAAACGGCCAGCACAAAACATGGTACAAGGGACATGGATGGGTAAACTCGACCTTTCGTCGTCCCTTCCTTGCTCTGTCAATATCGCCGCGCTTCTTCGGACGGCACAGAATTTATCTGACAAAACCAAGGAGAAGGATGCCTGGAAAAAAATAGAGATTAATCAAAACCGACGGCACGGCACAGCACAGCGGAGCCTTCGGCCACGACACGCCATCTCTTACCTGGTCCACACCGTCTGGTCGATGCTGTTCCCATTGTCCTTCTCGGTCCTCCACAGCCCGTCCGTTTCGGTGTAGTCCGTGAACACCCCCTCCTCCGTAAGGACATCTCCCGTCAGCACCGTAAGCTGGGCCCCCGAAAACACTGTTGTAATAGCCAGCACGCAAAAAATCAAGAGGGAACGCCGACAACGGACAGCGGTGAGCGCATAAGCGCGCAGAGCAGCCGGGCAGAGCGCGTGGCGCTCAGGGACGGGCGAGGGACCCCATGGAATAGTTTCGACGTACCGCCTAGTCCCTCTCTTACGACCGTAGCTTTGACTCCTGGCACGGGACAGCACACGGCATAAACGCTTCAATATATATATTTTTTCCCAACAACAATATGCATCGCGGGCCGTTCCAAAGAAGAGCAAGAAATTTCTTCTCTTGAGCCCCCTGCATTTCGCACCGCACCGGTTGGAGTGTCGGGCAAGTGTTTCCCTTCTCGGTCCCTCTGTTGAGCTGCACTGCAGCAGTACATATAAAACACAATCAGCATGTCTGTTGGCGTGCGATCACCAGAACCCCCCCGAGATTCTTTGGGGAAGGGAGATACTTCCCTCGCCAGTCTCTTCCATTCAGCCGTGCACGCCGCCTACCAAGCCAAGACGAGGTGGCCAGAGTCCAACAGCCCGAGCTGCTGGCCAACCCCCGAACGACATGCTGGCCGGCCCTGTTGGCCCCGCGAGTATTACAATGAGATGGAATCTGAAGCAGACCAAGGATTGGAAAAACGCCTATTCTTTTCATCTCGCGGACACCCTTTCGGTGTTTTCCTGTTGGGAACAAAGTGTTGCGTGGTCACAGTAACCAAAACAGGAGACCAAGAGGGCAAGCTCCCTGCAAGCATAGCGGCTGCCGTCTCTCTCCCTGCGTCCCGTGCTTAGAAGATGTTTGAAGCCTCGACACTCGTGGCTGGCTGGTAGGTGGTGTGTGTGCCACTGCTTCCGATGTTTGTCTCATCGTTCACAATTTTTCTCCCTCGAGCCTACAATTGATCGTCCCCGGCCGGGGATACCCCAGAAAACCTTCGGGTGATCCCACGGGGTCCCCTGATATGGGGTCTGCAGAGGGGACTGGGAAGATCGGTCCGGCCGTACCACCAGCACAACTTGTTGTGTATCATTCGTACCATACGGAGTACCTGCTGCTGATACACTCACAAGTATTTCGAGCCCACAGAAGCAAAGCGCCGCACATGTTCTCTGTCGGACGCAAAAACTCTTGTACTGCTGTAGCACTGTTCCGAAACGGTTCGAAGCCACCCGCCCAATCCGCGGACTGGAGATCGTCTTTCGCATCGGCCAGCCGGCAGTGGTAGTCTACGGAAGTATCGTACGGCACGATGGACCCTAATAACCAAAGAAGAGAGAGCGTGGTGGTACAAAAAACAAAGCTTCAACAGCACACAAAACACACGGCGTGCGCTCTTACACACTCACCGAACGCCTCTGCCACGGCGGAGTTGAGCGAGTCGTCTGCCCGGACGAACCCTACGCCACCACCACCCAACAACGCCAGAGCGCAGCAGCTCCAGGCCAAGCAGAGCCGCGCACCCATCTTCCCTGTTCTTCCTGCTCCTCTTTCTGCCGCCCTAGCACCTACTCCCGCTCGCGCCCCCGTCGTCGTCACGGTCGCTGTGGCCGCCGCCCCAACCACCCCCGAAGACACCGTTCCCGACTGCGGTCGCGATCGGTGGCGGTCTTGTCTCATCCTGGCTTCCCATTGGCAGGGGCGGGGGGAGGTGGGGTCGGAGAGAAGCGGGAGGAGTTTAGTTCGAGGTTGTGACACGCGGGAAGCATGCAGCATGCATGACAAAGAAATAAGGCCACGGCAAGGGGGCCCTCTTTCGCTGTGCAAGCACGTACGCAGACAATAGAAAGCTGTCTTTCGGCACACCGCTACAAGTAGCAGTAACGCCTCGTCTTTTTTGGGGACGTGTTGCTGTGCGAGGTCAATCAAGTCCGTGAAGAGGATCCTCGTCCGTGTGTCGTGGCCAGTGTGACTTCCGGGTTAACATGCGCGTAATGCGCAGCAGCAGCAGCAGCAGCCTGTAAACGAAGCGCTGGTGCAACTTGAGTCTTCGTAAAAGAGACGTAGCCGCAACTACAAGACATAATTACAATTATGTCTTGCCGGCATTCACTTCACAGCTGTTACCGCCGCGCCGATGCTACCCCTAGCAGCAGGACACGAACGTACCCTGTTATCTTACGTAATTCCGTTCTGGTCACACAAAAGCGGTTGTTAGCATTAATAAAGCAACCTACATGTATGCCTTCAGAAACAGAGTGGGTATGACGGTCGGTCCTCCTGTCCATTCTATTTACAATAGGGGGCCCTATATTAGGTCGCATAGTGCTACGAGACTAAACCGGCCTTTAAGAGGGCACCCGGCCTTACGTAGAATCGGCCCTGTATAAGGACGGTTCCGTCCTTAATGAGGATTTCTATTTCCTCAATAAGGCCGTACCGTGCGCCTACATACTGTAGTTTGAAAAATCGGTGCATTGCTATCACGTTCATGCCATGCTTCCTTTCTTCGTCTCTCAGGTACATACGCGTCCAGCCGAGAGAAATAGCAATTCCGGCGGACAAAACATGAATACTGTAATAAAGAAAACCTTTGGTAGAAAATAGACATCAGGCAGATCCCCCCGTTTCGCAGAAAAAGAAAGGAAGCAAGTCCGTACGCCTGTATGAATAATCAAAGAGACGGAACACCTGAGGTACGGAAAACAGGTCCAGCGAGAAACGATTTCAACGGCTCAAGCTGGCACGCCGTAGTTTGTACCTACGCCCAAACATACGCCGCCACTCAAAAACCGGTAGGCAAATGACCATCAAGTTGTACTGTATCCTTAGTTGTTTTGCAAGCCCAAAATAACGACCCACCAGCACACAGCAGCACTATGCATTCATTCCTGCCATATTTACTTCCGAGAAACGACTGAAACGGCACATGTAACGGCATAGACGGCCAAAATCCAGACAAAACCTCCTGAAAAAACCTAGACCACCACCGACACGGCAAACGCTGCACAAAGGCATGTGTCGGTAGGGGTACTGTCGCAGTGCCTTCGCTGGTAGAGTCGGGAGGGGTGCGTGCTGCTAGCTCCGCGAGGCTGTCCACTAAATAGCTGTGCACTACACTGTAGAGGGGGTGTCATATGCGGCGAAACCAGCGTCACTTTTGCGGAGAACGGCATTGGGCAGGCGGGGGGCCACAACCGGCCATTTTTACAGGGGGTGCCAGACCCCCTGAAAGGCGGCCACCACCGCCACCGGCCTTACTATTACATCACGCAGGCGGCCTTATTCACGCGGCCACATATATCATAGGGCCCCACTACTGACTCCTTTGCTCGCAACTACCCCCCCACCCTTAACCCCCTGCATGCAGAAGAGATCGGTGTGCAGGCACCCCCCTGGTGCGTAGCCACGCAACCAACAACAACCGTAGCAGCGGTTGGAGGGTGGGTAGTAGGTCACGACCTGTGCGGACCATCCTGCTCCCGCTTACAATCTTACAATGTACAACGCCGCCCCAGCAGTACAGCAGTAGGTTACCGTAACGGCGGTGGCAAGGTGATTTGTTTGAAGCACCCACGAATTCCACCGAGAGCTAGCGTTGCTCCCATGGCAACACCTCTCTACAAGGAGCTGTGTTGGAAACGTGCGGAAGGCAGGGTGGCTGTGTTATGTACATACATGCGGGCACTAACGATGTGTGGGAGAGCTTGTGTTTTCAGCCGGTATTGTTGTTGGCTTCAGACCCTAACAAAGACCGATAAATGCTTCTATAATAGTACTCGGCGCCAGCTCTTGAGAGCCTCTTGTTCGCAATCTACAGCTCTCCCTCTTTTTAACTGGGAGGGAGCCAGTGTCGACGCGATCGCCTGTGCAAAGCTTCCCGCAAGGCCCTACAGAGATTGTTTGTCTACATTTCGGAGAATGCCCCCTCCACGAGGGAAACGCCGAGCCGTGCGAAAACCATCTAGGGGGGTGGCATATTACGCGATATTGCGCCCTACCATATCAAGAATGAGAAGGGTGATTGTGCTCCTTATATGGAAATGCGGCCTGTGTACCAGTGCATTTGTTCAAATCCTTACCACTCCATGCAATACTTGCTTCGACGATACATATCCAAATTTGAAAAGTATAAGCGTGGTCATCGCACGGATACACACCCTAAACGGACGAAAATTCTAGCATGTCCCCAACAAGTGTCTCGTGCTTAGCACACAAGCACGATTCCTCTCAAGCAAGACTGCATCTCGGACTGCCACCGCCGTGTGCGTGTGTTTCGTGTTCCTCCTCCACAACAGTATGCTTTTCTTCCCCACCCGGAGCCAAACGCTGCGCCATTTTTTTCGTCAACACACCTGGCCCCCCCATGCGATACACGTTCGTGTGCAGAGCTAAGGGACCACCGACGAACGTACCCTCAAAGCAGCTCTTTCCGGCACTCCGTACGTACATCACAAAGCAACAGAGCAGCAGGTCCATGCTGCTGAGAAGACAACAACGACTCTAATGATAAGTAACGCAGGACAGCCGCAGCAACCACTGCGTGTGCGGCAGCAGCGGGTCTCTTGGATCAACACGAAGCGACCGGGCTGGCGTGAGGATTCACGGCATGGCGGCTGGGTGTGCGCAGCAGTGCCTATGCTACACACAGCCCTGCTGAGGTGTCGGTAAGATGTTGCAAGTCTGTGCCATGTCACACACAACCGCAGTCAGTGTGGTGTTGGGGCACGATTTTTTTGCGGGAAAAATGGATGTTCGTTACGTACCGGGCACTACATGTAAAATTATCTTGCACCAAGCAGCGAGGCTGCAACGCCCAGAGCGATGAGTGCAGGACCAGCGTCGGTGCCAGCGATAAACCCTGCTCAGGTGGCCTAGAAGCCCCCTCTCTCGCCTTCCTTCCCCCTCACCGGAGAGATGAAGAGAGAGATGATTTGTTTGATGTGGTGTGTGCAGCTGGGTGTGTGCGTGTGAACACGGACAAGCGAACAGGAACCAACAGCCGAGCAGGGGGATAATTTGATAATTTGCTGGGTCGTGTTGTCGTGTTTGATTTTTTGTACTTCGCCGCAACAAACGACTGAATGAGTAGAGAGAGAGTGAGAGCGAGAGAGGGAGAGAGGGTGTGAGTGTGTGTGCCAGAGAGAGAAAGATAGAAGAACTAGCAGTGTAAGACACGCACAAACGCGCGCTTCGATACTCCAGTTCGGACACTTGCTGCTGTATCCTCCGTTGCTGTGGGAGAAAACAACAGGGATGTCGCTCGCATTTTTCTTGTTCGAAGGATTGGATAGAACACAGAACCCATGCACAAGCTCGGTCTCACCTGCCGAATACGGAACACCCCGGTGCCCCGAAAAGAGGGAGAGAGAGACGGAGGCCGGGGGATTGGCGGACACCGTAGCGACTGCTGTGCTGTGAACAGCTCAGCTCGCCTGTGTCTCTCGCGTCGCCTGCTGTGTCCACTCCACTCCACAACAACAACAACAGAGGGTCATTTTTTTTTTGTTCTCGATTTCCCCAATCGCGTCACCCCCACCTCCCTCTTTGTCTCCCGGTCTTTTTGTGCCCTCCGCTCGCACACACTTTTGCCAGCGCCATGGACGGCGGTGGGATCATGGCCTGTGGACGAAGAACTGCTAGGATGAAAGGCTTGGCGAGGGTGGCTGTGCTCCTGTCGACGGCGATCTATGCGGTAGCACAAGGTGTGTGTGGGCTTGTTGTTGGTGGAAATCGGTGGACAGAGAGGAATAGGGAAGGCACAACATCCGGTGCAATTCGTTCATCGCCCTTCTGTGCATCATGGAATCACACCCCTTTTCTCGCACTGAGGCCGTATGCTCTGTCTTTTTGTGCAACGGGCTCGTTGTTGCGAGGGCACGTCGTGTCCCGTGCGGTCGTTGCCTGGAGCGCACGTACTCGTCCCCAAAGCGGCGTCGTTTTGGGTTTTGCTGCGGCGATGAAAGTGTAGCTATTTTTTGATGTCAACCCCGCGATGTACAGGACACAGCATCGCGATCGAACTATTACTGCTGCATTGCGGCGAACCGAAGTTTTTAGAGGACGAGGTTTCTCCACAGGCGAGCATCTCCCACAAGCGGGCCTCAGCACGCCCGCCCTTGTGGCGTGCCATCCATCCAGCCTCCCGCCCGGCCCCTACAGCAGTGAACACTTTTTCACCCCCGTCTCTTCACATTCAAAAATATGTGCCGCGTCTCTTTTTCCCTCTTGTAGTGTTCAAAGGTATGTGCATCTGTAGCAACTAAAGAGTGAATTCTTCATTTTTCCGTTCTGTGGCCGACAACAACTCTCGAATAAGAAGCACCCACACCGCGTACCGCAACGTGTTTGCGGGTTCCCGTGCGGGGACGGCAAATGACTAGGGGTGGTGGGTGTGTCGGCGTTGTAGATACGTATTGAACGGCAGGGGACACGATTTGTTTTTGTGCGATGTACCTAAACGGCAGTTCCTGATCTGTCTGTCCCCGTCACCCCGGCGAACTAATAACTTCCCGACAGACCGAGAGCGGCGGGGCGTCCGAACATGTTTTTTTTTATCTACGACATTTCAATATCGTATCCATAAAATGCAACCATTTTTCTAAGTTAATTTATAGTATGCTCCACACACACACCCGCGCCGCTTGGCGCCGAGCCCTTTCCCAAGGTTTGTTTTTTTAAGAACAAAACAAGGCGCTCGCGCTGGCTGCTTTTCGCCGAACTAAAAGCTCACGGGCACAAACACAGCAGCAACAGAAGTTTCGTCCCCTCTTCGGACAGAGTATCTTGCTTGCCCTGCCTACTTCTACAGCTGTCTTGAGTAGACAAGCGGTGGACCTATCCATTGCTCTGGCTGTGTGTTCTATAGCAAGTTTTGGCTCGATTTGTTCAGTCGGAAAGTGAACTTCTTTGCGGAGGAAATGCCGAACACCTTACGGCTTTAGTACGCACGTACCGGTGTGGCACTCCTCTTGAAGCGGAGAACCACCGAAACGCGGAAATCGATCCAAATGGTTGAGGGCCCGAAAACACGGACAGGTTTGGGTTGCCTTCTTACATGTATGCATAGGAAGTGTATTTTGAGGGAGTTTTCTGACTGTTGGTTGTCTGAAAAGAGGCCGCTGTAACCAAGGACGCCGTGGGTAAAGCGGCAGATTTTACACGTGTATGCATGCATACGTTGGTCAGTTGCGACCACCATGTCACCGCTGCTTGTTTTTCTGTTCCAGATGCGGCAATCAAGCGAGCGCTGATTTGAAGTGAAGACAAAACAAAAAAAAATAATCAAGAGAGTGATCGGAGGCAAGAAAATAAACCACACGTCCACTGTCACGAGCGATGCCGTCGACTACATAAATAGTGTCGACTCTCCATGACCCCTGAAAGGCCGGATATCCCCTTGACAGACAGGCTCTGAGAGGGCTGTGCGTAAACGATATTGCTGTAGTCGTCACGGCTGTCGCATGCAACAGACAGCCAGTACAGCGCTAGGCTGGCTGGGTTGGTTCTTTTTGCTTGAGGACGAGGTCTGTCCGTCGGCAGTTTGTACCGCTGCTGGCTACCGTACACAGTAGCTCCTTGCAGCTCTTGTGTGCTTTTCCTTTTTTTTGCTATTCGAAAAAATAAAAAATAAACACGCAGAATTCTTCGTGAACTTGTTGGTGGTCGTTTCTGTTGTCCGTTGTCCGTGTCTCACTGCTACTGCTTCTCTCTCTCTCTCTCTCTCTCTCTCTCTCTCTCTCTCTCTCTCTCTCTCTCTCTCTCCCGCCCCCCGCTGTGCGCTGTATCATGGCGACGACGCTACTGTACGCGCAGAGACGTGCACCAGCGTTACGGTAACCGGTGGTGACTTCCCCGGCGATTACGAGCTAGGGGAGGGAGACGTGTACGTTGGGACGGACGATTCAACGCGCGTCCTACAGCCGGTTGTATTCGGTGAGGTTTTCTTCGGCATGTATGCATATGTAGGAAAACATTCGAAGTACAGCAGTACAGTGTAAACGTTGCACAAAGCAAAGACTACCCGCCGTTCGAGAGAATGCACCGATCGAAGGAGTGGGTTTGAAGAAGTACTTGAAAGTGTTTATTATTCACAAGCAGTGCGTTTTCCAGAGGGAAGTGTATCTTGTGACCCACACGGGAGACATATTGGTACATGCTGCACGAGGAATCGTATCTAGAACCAGGTGAATTATCCTCTATCAATTCATCCCTTGCATTGATTGTGTATCCTTATCTATGGATGGAGGTGGATGTTCCGTGTTTGTCAAGTAATGAGAAAAAAATGAAACTGCTGGACGTCGTTGTTGTTGAGAACACAAGCAAAATCATCTCTTGTGCATCCACAGCAGATTAAGAGTCCTGTCTCTCTCCCTGTCTCTCCTTGGCGGCGACGTCGATAAACCTACCAAATCTACCGCTTGTAGTGGACGGCCATGGCGGCGCACGGTATTAGATAATAGGTGCCCGTTCTTTTGTGGCCCGCACCTCCTGCTCTGTGGTCCCCGCTGCTTCTGTGCAATCGCGCGCGTGTGTGTGTTGTCCCATCTATTCTGGCGCCGGTTTGCAGGCCTTTCGGCGTATGTAACTGGCGTAACGGCCGGGGTCATAAGTCACATAACCCAGAGAAGGTCACACAGGATTTTTTTTTACGTTGTTGTTCGGTATGGCCCCACCTTTCCCCTTTCCCCCTGCGGTGCTTGCCTTGGTTTGTTTTCATCTCGAGAAGGGTTCAGCCATGCCTTTACCTCGTAAATCGTGAAGCCGCAGACAGCGTATCGTACAAGTTCGCCAAGAAAACTGCCGAATGGTGTAGAAAAGAGAAAACGTCCAGAATTAATTACGGGCGAGGCACGCACATGGAGAGATATGGTTGTTGTAGCTTGGCGGCTTGCCTTTTGGGTCAGCCAGTCATTAGCGCGGTCGACGCAGGTCGAAGAACCTAGCACGCGCCGAAAGAGGCACTTACGCGGCGGTTTGGCGCCCGTGACGCAGAACCTGCTGAAACACAGGGCCGTTCGTGTTTGGACTGCTGTTGGTTCGAAGTTCGAGTGCCGTGTAGGTTCTGCAAGACCACCACGCGTGACACCATTTTCGGAAATTATTTATGCACGCGGGTGCGATATTGATGTTGTAGGACGTGTGGGATGGCACGTATGGGGAAGTGCATTCACAGGACGCCGCATACAGGGGCTGTGCGATGGAATAACGGTGTGCGATCATGTCACGAGTGTGGTCAAGTGCGCTGGCACAAGACCTCACGTGTTTGGGGTTGTGATATATAGTCAGGATGGCTCATGATGCCGCTTATTCCAGTGTTGCATCAATGACGCATGATGCCGCTTTTTCCAGTGCTATATCACATGCACTCCCAGAAGTAGGTACTGAAGTAGAATGCGAACACAGAGGCGCGTATGCATAGCATTTCATGGCGGTTGCGCCGGTATTTCGGAGTGCAAGTCAAAACAAGACAGCGCAAGGAGGCACGAAAACAAAACAAAAAAAGACCAGGAATGCCAAGGCATGTCAGGCGTACTTTTGACGACTCTCGCCAGAACTATCCAGCAGGGTGTGTTGTGATGGTGCAAGATGATTGCGCTCACGTGTTTGTTTTCTCTGGCCCAGGACGAACACTACCTTTGCCTGTGTGCGCCCAACCTTTAGACGAGCGCGGACCCCAGTAAACCTGTCAAGCTTTGTGCCGTGGTGAATAGCCGTACGGGAGGAAGCAACTCGTTACGGGAGGAATAAAAATGTTTTGCAGTTGTTCGCCGCTTTGCTTCGAGCTGCCATCAATCCGGATGACCAAGCAGAGCCAAAGCATGTCAAGTACTGCTGTTTTTTCGGGACGAAGAATAGAGCCGCGTTTGAGACACATGCCACGGCGGTTCTGTAGTCGTGCGCGGTCTGTGTGAGGAACGCGGCGATTCTCATGGACTCATGGGGACCGCAGCGGGATGATGGAATATTGAGAAGGGGTGGGAGAAATAAGGTTTGCCCGGTTGCGATAAAGGAGCTTTCGAGTTTCACGACAACTCCTGATCTTTTCTACAAGCTGCGGCACGGCGGACGGAGAACATTCGGTTCCGGGGCTTTACTCTCCCCCCGCTTACCCCGCCTTCAAAACCGAGCGAAACGCCTGGTGACATTTTCTTGTCCCGTGTCCCTTGTCCCGTGTACCCGTGTCCCGTCATTTGACCCCCCGGAACACAACGTATGCATACAATACGCAACTGCCGCCGTAATCGCAGAACTGCCAGTCTAATCTCGCTCATCACCCGCCTCTCTCTCTCTCTTGTCTCTTCTCTGTTTCGTGGCTCCGCGTGTTTTTCTCGCGTTGCTCTCTTCGCCTCTGGCAGCGGAGAGCAGGGCACGAAGGAGCCTGGTGGGCGGTGGGGGCGATGGGGGCGGCGGCGGCGGCGGCGGCGGCAGGAGGAGAGGCCTCGCGAACGATTGCGCGTCTCAGATGTGGATCCTGGCGGACACCGGGGCGGTCGAGGAGGCAGGATTCCCCTACTGTGAGTCGAGGTCACATGGGGACCGCCGCTGTTGTCGGTCTCGGTCTGTCTGCTGTCTGTGCATGTCGGCCGGAAGAGTTGCGAGCGGTGGGCATGAAACAAGGCCCAATGCGGCGCACGTATATATGTGGTGGTCCTTAGGAGGCGGAGGGTAGCACCACTGCCCCGAGCCGGTCGTGTGAAGTACTTACGTGATGCAGGAGTGGCCATTCTTCAAAGATGGTGTTTGCTTTTGTGAAACGGTACTGCGGGAAACGGTTTGTAGCCGAGGTGGGAGGAAACCCCGGCATTATAGTGGACATTGTCCTCCGGGTGGCCGGCCTTCTTGGCTTCGATCGCCATCGAATAGCAAGAAGAAATCAGACGCGAGTGGAACCTCTGCAGTCCGTTTTCGGTTCCCCAGATTAACTATTGGCCTATAGCCTACGTCCTAGCGACGCGTGCTGTCGACGCGTGTTGTTGCTGAAGAAAGAAGGAAGCCGCGCCGGCTTTCTTGTGCCGGATAACAATGGTCTCCCTGCCCCCCGCCTCCCCTCCCCCTAGACGCTTCGCGCGACCGCTCTCTCACGCCCTCTATCGCTCTCCTTGTCCCGCGCCGCCGCTGCCATGACCTCAACAATCGAATCGTCGCACATGGTGCTTTCTGCGTGGGATGGTTTTGTGGATGGGCTCTTGATGCGTCGACGGAGAACAGATTCGACCTTCGACTGCGCGACGCATCCCGCGAGCGTAGAGAGGTAAGCGAGAACATTTTCGAGCTTGTTTATATGCTATTTGATGACACGTCGCGCTGGTGATGTGTGTTAGCAGTGTCGGTGCCAACCAGCAGAAGGTCAGTTGTGCTGCTTGTCGATGGCTGTGTTTTCAGGCCAGTTGTTTGGCCATCCATAGTTCCCCGCGCCGCAATCTGCAGACTTTCGTGCTCAGACGAAAGCGGTTGCATCGGCATGTTGTGTTTCGACTTGTGAGGGAGGGCCTGACTTGGCGAATATACGCCGAAACGGCGGTGCCAATCGGAAAACACGCTCGCGCCTCGCGCGGGGAGTTATGGCCTAAAATAATTCTGCCGCGTCTTTTGCGGCGCTCACCTTGCGGGCACGTGTCATGTTTTCGATAATGTCCCTGAAACGTTTGTGCTTGCTGCTCTATATCCGCACGATTATTCGCTGGCGCCATCACACCGACGACACCTACCCCTTCCCCCCCGCAAACATCGCCTCCATGTATGCAGCACGTGGCTGTACGTTGACTGCGACGATTGTGCCGAGGTAGCGACGATTTCCGTCGTGTGCACGTCTTCGGCGGAGGACGCGGAGGACCTCCTGACCAGCGGTGACGGCGGCGATAGCGGCCTGACCCTTCCCGTTATCATCGCCATCGTCGCGGGAGGACTGATCCTCCTGTTGTGCCTTGGTTTCTGCGTGGTCCACCGCAAGAAACGGGCCCACAAGGGAAGCCACACCTTTGCGGACGACTCGCAGCACAGCCTGGCCCAGCAGAAGAGGGCCGGGAAGGCGGGGGCCGGCGGCGCCGCGGTTGCGGGCGGTGGAGGCGGCGCTACTGCCGCTGCTGGTGGCAACGGGGCGGTGCCCCTCCCCGCGTACACCGGGGCGGTCGGCGAGACTGTCGAGAGCCCCATGGCGGCGGGGGGCACCATGGGTGAAAGCGGCGATCGTGGCGTGGGCGGCGATGGGCGCGGCAACGTGCGGGGCGGGGGTGGCGGTAGCGGTCGCAGCGGCGCCGGTCTGCTCGCGAAGGGCTCGAACGCCAAGAGCTTCAAGCCGAACCACGGCGGCGCGAACACTCCGGGGTACGAGGGCATATTCGCACCCCGCGGCGGCGGCGCCGCCGCCGGAGGCGCCGCCGGCGGCGGCCAGGGCACCG